TGTTGCTGCTGATCTGTTTCATGCTGCTGCTGATCTGTTTCATGTTGTTGCTGATCTGTTTCATGTTTCTGCTGATCTGTTTCATGTTGCTGCTGATCTGTTTCATGCTGCTGCTGATCTGTTTCATGTTGCTGCTGATCTGTTTCATGCTGCTGCTGATCTGTTTCATGTTGCTGCTGATCTGTTTCATGTTGCTGCTGATCTGTTTCATGATGATGTGTTCATTTGTGCTCATCTGCTCACACAGTCTTATGTTTGTGCTGCTGTTCAGAGTATTGCTTTTGTACTACTAGTGCTTAGTGTATTTTTTATTTTATTTTATTTTTTTGCCCAGAGTGGGGCAAATGAGGTTGGAGGCAGGTGTGGGTGTTTCACCTTTCCCACCCACATTTTGATGTTGTCGATCCAGGGAGTTGAACCGGCGACCTTCCAATCTCAGGCCCACTTTTTAACCTCTGAGCCACCACTCTCCCATAAAAATAAATCATTTGATGCATTTTAATATTTTGTTTTAATGCTTTAATTTTCTGAAACTATTAAAATGGCAAGAAAGTTTGGCTGCTTGGAAGGAAAATGTACAGAAATAAGGACTGTCGAGCTGTACTGTGTATTTGTACTTGTCTGAAGGTGTAATATCCATATTTACCAAACCATCAAAGAACGGGGGTGACTTGATGTAAGTGGACTTGGGGTCCCAGGTGTAGAGCTTGTCAGAAGGAGCTACAAGAGAGTTCCAGCGCTCGTTCACTTTCTGAAAGAAAAACCCAAGAGAGACTCAGATTCTGTCGGATGAAAAACTAAAGCTGGCCCAAGTAAAACTTTACCTCGATCTTCTCATAGACCTCCTTGAACATGGATGGAATGACAAACTTCCTCTCCACAGCCTGGATCTCCTCCCGGGTGGGCCAGATATCCCTCAGGAAAATTTCTTTGCCTTCTGAGTTAATGGCTGCAGAAAAATAAAATAAAATAATGTGTTATGTATTGTCATCATTGTATGTTCCCATACAATGGTGAAATTGACTCTCTGCATTTAACCCATCCACCATCAGGTGGGGCAGTGGGCGGCTGTTGAGGGCGCCCGGGAGGCCTTTGGGGATAGGATGTGTTGCTCAGAGACACCACAAGATGTGCAATGACTGGGGATTGAACCTGGGACGTTCGGGTCCTGAGTCGGCTGTCCTGCCTCTACCCCATCTCAGCCCAGTGTTTACAACATTTTGTATCTTTAAATACCCAAAATGTAGTCATCTTTAATAATGGCACACAAATATAAAAAGAAAAACCACCAAACGCTGTTCAACCTTGATCAAAAGATGACAGTAAAGTGCTTCAGCCTTCAGACAGCTAGTTTCCCCTACAGAACTTATCATGTAAAACTAGTTAGCTATTAGAAAACGTGCACATCCATTTATGGTGAACTAATAAATGATAAGTTTATACATGAATTTTCTTGCAAACCAATTTATTCTGGCAAGACGCAGAAGTGAGAGCAGATATTAGAGATGCACCGATCCGATACAATATCGGTATTGGTACTGATATCGGGGAAAAACTTCTGGATCGGGTATCGTGACAATGTGCCCAGTCAATCCATGACTGGGCAGATCTATTCATTCTATGCTTTGTGCTCTGAGTGACGTCACGCGCTAGCGTACTGACTGAACAAATTAAAGTTGTGTTGTTTTTACGTTTGACCAAGCTTGTGAAGCTCTTGGTGTGTTTAATGTGCTGTTATGGTGCAGAGTTTTCAAAAAATTTGTAATTCAGTACATTCATGTCTGCGTTTTAAAAAAAACTAATGTTTTGAGTTAATTCAGCACTCAAGCTCAAACATCCAGGTAGACAACAAAAATGGCCAAATCATGTCATCTGGACCTGTTCCAGAAATGTGTCCAGATGACATGATTTAGCCATTTCTGTTAATTTAGCACCGTTTTTCTGCATCAGACCGGTATCGGACGACAAAAACCCCAAAAACAAACAAACAAAAAAAAAACAGACGCAGGTATCTGTATCGGATTGGAAGTGAAAAAAAAAAAGAAAATTTAAAAAGTGGATTGGTACATCCCTAGCAGATACCGTATATTTCGCTATATAAGTTGCATCTTTTTGCATAAATTAGCATGCCTGCAACTTATACAGCGAAGCGACGTACTTATGTTTTTTATCCATATTTATAATCCAATTTTTGGCTGAGATCTGACGATTTCATTCATTCTGACATGGAAAATATTGAACACTACCATTTGCAGCCACTAAAGGGCCCTCAAGTATTATGGCAAGCTAAGTGTCTCATTAATAGGTAAAAGTGGCTATCAATGAGACACTTGGCTTGCCATACCAAGCCACCTTCGTCTCGCTCTGGAACTCCTGGAGTAAACGTCAAATCAGCTGCATTTTGCCGTGCCACCCAGGCGAAATGAAGCTGATTTCACCGTTAAATGCATTTATTAATGAAAAGTTCAACTGAGACACACCTTTACTATAATGTCAAGCAAACAAATAATTGTTTTTAGGAGCTTATCTTGGTAAATTTCGAAGAAATGCACAGCGAGTCCTCCCTCTGCGTGCTCCCGCAGTCGTAAATCGGCTTTTGAAATTAAGCGGTTTTGAACTAATATAGTGCATTTATTACAGAAAATTTTGACTGAGACACACTTTTGCTATAATTTTGAGCAAACAAATAATTGTTTTTAAGTGTTAATCTTGTTAAATTCTTGTTAAAGTCCTCCCGTGCATGCTCTCGTGGCCACCATTTGGCAGCCAATCAATTTTGGGCACAACACCGGCCCACGTTTTCGGGTTGTCAGCGGTAATGCATAACAAACGTGACGCGTCAGTGACGCATAACAGATGCAACATACGGCAGTGCAACGTGTATGGTGGCAAGTACGGTAATAACTTCTACGTGGTGAGCTGCAGGACAGCTCATCTTTGAGCCTTTTATACATTAATGAGTATAATGTCTACAGAGCTTCTGGTGCGAGTACTTGACCCCACAGTCACTCACCGATGGGTTCCTTTTCAAAGTCTATCCTCACAGTGCCGGCGATGGCATAAGCAATGACGAGGGGAGGAGAAGCCAGGTAGTTGGCTCTGGTGTTGGGATGAACTCGACCCTCAAAGTTTCTGTTTCCTGACAGGACGCCAGCAGCAACCAGGTCCCCCTGAAGCACGAAACAACAACGCAAGTAAATCAGCAGCTGTGAAAAGAACTCTAAAGAGTTTACAGACAAACAAATGGTCTGGGTGAGGTTCAGCGGGAGAGATCTGCTGGATTGATCTGGTTTGGACACCAACAATGGGTGTGCAAAAGATTTTATGACCACAACAAGTTAGAGCACAATTTCTGTCAAACTAACTGAATACAGCCATTTTTGTGATTTCTTAAGCTGCTGGCTGTGGCAGCCATCTTGAATTAGTTAATCATGTGTAGTTGTACATCCAGTCATTATTTTCAGAAAGTTTAATATAACTCTGTCCTGTGGCTCTTGAGAATGTTGATCTGCATGCTAACACAATTAGCTAACATGGCATATTTCGCAAAAACACAATCCTCCACCTTTCCTTTAGGCATAATGTTACAGCATAGGTACCTGTGTTATGGCCTCCACCACTGGATCCGGCAGCGGACCACTGTTGCCTATACACGTCATGCAGCCATAGCCAACCACCTCAAAGCTAGCGGGACAGACAAACAGCTGTTAATGTGGCTACACAAAACACTGATCCACTGTGACGTAGCTCTGTGCCAAAACACACACATCAGTCTTTTCATCTTTCATATAAATGATTAGTTATTCTGTGAATAATGAACACAATACTGTTTACAAATGATTTAATAGCTGAAAAAGAAATGATGCTTGGTCATTGAAAATACAAACCGGATTCCAAAAAAGTTGGGACACTAAACAAATTGTGAATAAAAACTGAATGCAGTGATGTGGAGATGGCAAATGTCAATATTTTATTTGTAATATAACATAGATGACAGATCAAAAGTTTAATCTGAGTAAATGTAATATTTTAAAGGAAAAATATGTTGATTCAAAATTTCACAGTGTCAACAAATCCCAAAAAAGTTGGGACAAGTAGCAATAAGTGGCTGGAAAAAGGAAATTGAGCATATAATGAACAGCTGGAAGACCAATTAACACTAATTAGGTCAATTGACAACATGATTGGGTATAGAAAGAGCTTCTCAGAGTGTCAGTGTCTCTCAGAAGCCAAGATGGTAAGAGGATCACCAATTCCACCATTGTTGCGCAGAAAGATAGTGCAGCAATACCAGAATGGTGTTACCCAGCGTAAAATAGCAAAGACTTTTAAGTTATCATCATCAACCGTGCATAACCTCATCAAAAGATTCAGAGAATCTGGAACAATCGCTGTGCGTAAGGGTCAAGGCTGTAAAACTCTACTGGATGCTCGTGATCTTCGGGCCCTTAAACGTCACTGCACCTCAAACAGGAATGCCACTGTCAAGGAAATAACAGAATGGGCTCAGGAATACTTCCAGAAAGCATTGTCAGTGAACACAATCCACCGTGCCATCTGAAACTCTACAGTGCAAAGAGGAAGCCATTTCTAAGCAAGCTCCACAAGCTCAGACGTTTGCACTGGGCCAGGGGTCATTTAAAATGGAGTGTGGCAAAATGGAAGACTGCTCTGTGGTCAGATGAGTCACGATTTGAAGTTCTTTATGGAACACTGGGACGCCATGTCATCCGGACCAGAGAGGACAAGGATAGCCCAAGTTGTTATCAACGCTCCGTTCAGAAGCCTGCATCGCTGATGGTATGGGGTTGCATGAGCGCTTGTGGCATGGGCAGCTTGCATGTCTGGAAAGGCACCATTAATGCAGAGAACTATGTTCAGGTTCTAGAACAACATATGCTCCCATCTAGACGTCCTCTCTTTCAGGGAAGACCCTGCATTTTTCAACACAATAATGCCAGACCACATTCTGCAGCAATCACAACATCATGGCTACGTAGGAGAAGGATCCGAGTACTGAAATGTCCAGCCTGCAGTCCAGATCTTTCACCTATAGAGAACATTTGGCGCATCATAAAGAGGAAGGTGTGACAAAGAAGGCCCAAGACGATTGAGCAGTTAGAGGCCTGTATTAGACATGAATGGGAGAGCATTCCTATTTCTAAACTTGAGAAACTGGTCTCCTCTGTCCCCAGACGTCTGTTGAGTGTTGTAAGAAGGGGGGATGCCACACAGTGGTAAAAATGGACTTGTCCCAACTTTTTTGGGATTTGTTGAAGCCATGAAATTTGGAAACAACAGATTTTTCCCTTAAAATGATAAATTCTCTCAGTTTAAACTTTTGATCTGTGATTTGTGTTCTATTCTGAATAAAATATTAGATGTTGGCACCTCCACATCATTGCATTCAGTTTTTATTCAAAATTTGTTTAGTGTCCCAACTTTTTTGGAATCTGGTTTGTAAAAATAAACTAATAAATACTTGAAATTGTTTAAATTGTGGGCCCTGAATCTATCATCTATTAAAGATCAACTTTTTGAATGGAAATATGGAAGTTAAACAACTTTTCCATGATATTCTAATTTTTTGGAAAGGGTCTGTATAAGGTAAAGAGTACTGGTCCAAGCACTGAACCTTGAGGAACTCCATGACTAAATTTGGTGTATTAAGAAGATTCATCATTTATATTTACCAACTGGAATCCATCATATAAATATGATTTAAACCAATTTAGATCTGTTCCTGTAATCCCAATATCATATTCAAGCCACTGTAGTAGAACATTGTGATCAAATGTATCAAATGCAGCACTGAGGTCTAACAGGACACAAGTCCATTGTCTGAGGCCATGAGAATATCATTAGTAACTTTCACCTGTGCAGATTCAGTGCTGTGGTGAGCGCTAAACCCTGACTGAAACTCTTCAAACAAATTATTTTGGTTCAGATGTTCATGCAATTGACTTGCAACTATTTTCTCAAGATCTAAAAAAGTTAAGTCAGGTCCTCTGGACGTTCAAAAAAACAAAACAAACAAACAAATAAACAAAAATTAAAGAAACATTTCCTCTTTCATCTGAAAGTCTTCTTCAGTATTTTCTCAAGAATTTTTAGATTTTTTTTGTAATCCGTTTAGCCTATCTCTGCTTTTTGCAGACTATTGAGGGTTTTTTTCTTTTACAAATTTCAGCCGTTCTGCTGCTTTTAGCTTTTATTGTCCTGCTTTCAGCTAATCTCAACTGTTCAAACTGAACCTGCATTAATAATTTAGAAATTAAACAATTTCAGCCTGGTTTCAACTTCTTTAGCAGTTTTCAGTAATCTTTCAGCAATAAGGATTCACACTACATTTTCACAGGAAATGCAGCAGTAAATAGAAAGCATAAAGAGGTTTATCCCAGGACCTTCCTGACTCTGAGGAGGACTAACACCCCTGGGAAGCTCACCCCAGCTGAGACAGGTAGTCCATCACTCCACTCTCTTTCAGGTAATAGGTCACCACTCCGCTGCCCGGAGACAAGCTTGTCTTTATGTATGGCTTCACAATCAAACCACGTTCAATGGCTTTCTTAGCGAGAAGTCCTGGAATCAGAGTTGATTAATTAATTTATTGTGTATAATATCAGCTCTGACATAATACATGATGTATTTAACGTTATAAATAAAGTAAATGTACCTGCACCGAGCATGACGGAGGGGTTGCTGGTGTTCGTGCAGCTGGTGATTGCAGCAATCACCACAGAGCCGTGACTCAACATGTACTCCTTACCACCAAACTGGAAGGGGATTACCGTGTTGTGGCGTTCAGGGGCCACCTGGAAACCCTTAAATCCTTGCTGAGGTCACAAATAAACAAGAGTACCACATACGACATATTATACACCCGTTAACAAACTAATATACGAAAATACAGCAATCTATAGCAACGGCACGGACAAGCAAAGACATTGTGTAAGATTTGACTTGATTTGTGACCTTAAACTTAGAGTCAGGGTGATGAAAAGTGAACGTGACACTGCCTAGTGATGATGCAATGATTACGAAGATTCGTTAAATTATCTTGAGTGGGTCAGAAGTTATGGGCAGGACAAGAGGAAGTTTACGTAGAGAAACTAAACTACAATATGTCCCGCTTTCAAATTTAAAGCTGTAATAATAAAAATAATAATAATATGTATGTATTGTCATCATTTTATGTTCCCATACAATGGAAAATTGGATCTCTGCATTTAACCACTCCACCACCAGGTGGTGCAGTTCTTTCTGAATCTGTGTACAACTGAAGTAAATTTAAAACAGACACTTTTTGTTTTATTTTACCGCTGAACATGTCGACTGTGTTGTTTGCTGACCATGTCTGGAATATGGTGCATTTCATAAAACTAGCAACAATATTTAAATGTGACAAAGTTGTTCCAGATGTTTTTCTCTCCTTGGTTTGAAAAATAGTCACTATTTTTATATATATCTATCTATCTATCTATCTATATGTATATATATATATATCTATATATATATATATATATGTTTTACATGAGCAGAGATGTTCAGACTGCTAAATTTAATAGTTCCGTCTCATAATTGTGAAGTTTGTTTTAAAAAAAGAGCTGCAAGATCATCCTCAAAAACTGGTGACTGAACAGTTCTATGTCATATAGGCTTCGCCCTTTAAGGCTGTCGCTGATGGGTTTATCCCGTTATGCGCAAGCATCGTACTGAAAAAAATTAGTCCACGCCCACCTGCTGTGTGGGCCCCACCCGATCCGTATAAATTACGTTAAGAGCGGGTAATCTGCTCCCAGTTTTTCTTCAGCAAGCATAATAAACAAGAATAAACTGACCTTTTTCGTCGAGATGTCCAGCTCCAGCACCATCCGTTTGTGTCCCTCGTGCAAGACCGGCTACTTGCTTAGCTTCGACCGGCACGACACCTGCGAAGGATGCCTGGGTCCCCGCCACGTCGCTCGCGCTTCCTCCTGCCGCCTCTGTGACGAGCTTCCACCGGAGGAAAGGCAGAGGAGAGCAGCCTTGTTTAAGGCTACCATCGAGGACTGCCTGTCCGTGGCGGGAGATTGTTCGCTGGACGACGCCATGGATTTCTTCGACGCCGGCTCTCGGAGTGAATCGGATGATTCCTCTGGGACCGGTGACGCTAGAAGCAGCCCCGACGCTCGTTCCCTCCCGGGGAGCGCAGTGTTGGAAAGAGGGAGGCCGAGCGGATGCTCGACTCCCCCGGGGTTTCCCGCCTCAGCGACCACATCGCTCCCTGCCGTGGGCGCGCTCCTCTCGGAGCTGCCCGCCATTATCCGGGAAGCTGCTAGCGTTAAGGGGCTCTCCGTCCCCTCACCCCCCCCGCTCAGATCGGATGATCTTGCGGGAAGGTTTGGCTCCACGCCGGCTCGCCGTCCTGATCCCATTTGGCCTCGTTTTCCAGCGGTGACAGCGTACTGGAACGAGGCCGCAGCCGGTCCTGGTAGGTTAAGGGCGCCCGTCTCCACTTACGCCCCCATCACCAGAGTGGAGGGGTTCACCGAGCGGGGCTATCCCTCGGTACCCCCCCTTGAGCCAAGCCTCGCGGAAGCCTTCGGAGCGAAGATGTCCAGGCTGGAGAAGCGTCCCGTCCCTCCGGGGAAACACGACCAGGTGGCGACCGCGCTCTCCAACAGAGCCCACCAGTGTGCTTTTCAGGCGGCCGCGGCTAACAACAACGTGGCGCTGTTAGCATTTAGCATGTCGAAGAGGCTGGAGGCCTCAGGCCTGCCGGAGGAGACGAAGAGCTCCCTGTGTAAATCGGCAGACGCCGTCCTCAACATGTGCGCCGCTTCCACGGTTTGCCTGTCGAGGATTGCTTCATGGATGACGGTAATCCAACGCTCCATCTGGCTCCGTCACTCCCCATTGCTGCCGGAAAAGCTGCACAAGGACCTCATGGAGGGCCCCATCTCATCGGACGCGCTGTTCGGAAGCAGCTTGAAGACCATGCTGGCGAATTCCAAACAGTCGGAGGAGATGTCGGAAGCGGTACGTCATCTCATCAAGCCGCGCGGCTCATCCCGTCCCCCAGCTCGCTGGAAGGATCGCCGAGAGCAGAGGCAGAAGCACCGACGCTCCACGGCAGCAGCAGCTTCGTCTCGCCCAGCTCCACCACCAGCCCCGCCCGCCAGAGACCACCCCTCCTCAGCCCGGCAGCCTGCACTTCAGCGCTTCCCCAGAGATCGCCTGCAGACGGCGCTCGGGTCAAACAAACCGCAGAGCTCACGAGGGAGAAGGTTTAAGAAATGACGGTCTGCGGGGGATGTGTGTATGAACGAAACAGGAAGTGAAATAAATGATTTTTCAAAAATCAGAATGCCTGTTTTTAGCCAGTCTGTAAGTTCGGATGAGCTCACAGCCGCTACACACACATCCTCCACACAGAGAGAGCCGGTGTCCTTAAATAAAGGTTTTTTAAACCCACCGCCGCTCCTTCACATGCCCAGACGCTCACGTGACACCACGGTAAGCGAAATATCTTGTTGTCAAACAGAACCGCACGATCACCACTCAAACGGTGTTAAACGCGCACCCGAGCGAGACAAGCACCGTCCATCCAAACGGCACTGTGCCGATGATGCACGCACAGCTGCCCGGCGCTCACCGGCTCACATCGGGATAAATGTGGGACCGCAGGCCGGGTCCGGTGGAGGTCCCCGCTCTCAGCAAAAACAACACACGTTTTTCCTGAATAAACGCGAACAGCCGTCATCCATCGCGCCTCTGCGACCAGCAGCTCACGGCGGCATAAGCGTGAGACAGCTGAATGAATCCAACGACGGGCCCCGCCCTCAGCGAGAGCGGCGCGCGTCCCTCCAGAGAAAACGTGCGCTCCCGCGAAGTTCACAACCTTCACTTCGACAGCACGGCGTTGATGACGTCACGCCCTCCACCTCTCAACGTTCGCACAGCGACGTTAAACGTGCAGCCTCTGGACGTCACCAGCTGACACACGCCTCGCCTCAGCGCACACCGCCCCGCCCGGACATGAAGGTTGGTCCGCGATCCAGTCACAGCGCACGGGCGCGCGCAGAACAGCCCTTTCGAGAAAGCCTCGCCTTGGGTCACGCGGAAAACATTTCCGCGACGCATGACGGCGGTCGAGGCGGAGGTTTGGATGACATCCGTTCAAAACACGGCACATCATTTAAACGCACGTCCACTCCACGAACGTCACGCAGAGTGGTTAAAAACATGCTCACCGGACAGATGGATGGACAGAGTGTTATGCAAGGGTTACACGCTGCAGTTTGCAACCCGACCCCCTCCGTTCGGAGGAGTTATAGAGACGGTCCTGTCATCACCAGACCAAGTCTCAGCCTTAAATGCAGAAGTCCAGGAGCTTCTGATAAAAGGTGTAATCTCAAAAGTTCCCAACGAGGAGGAAAACACAGGGTTTTACTCACGCTACTTCCTGGTCCCCAAAAAGACCGGAGGGATGAGACCGATTCTGGATCTGTCAGCTTTCAACAAAGCGATCATGAACAGACCTTTTCACATGTTGACGAACAGACAGCTGTTGGACAACATCCAGAAAAACGACTGGTTTGTTTCCATCGATCTAAAAGATGCTTATTTTCACATACCAATCATCCCAAAACACAGAAAATTTCTGCGTTTCGCCTTTCAAGGGATGAAGTACCAGTACAACAGGCTGCCTTTCGGGTACTCCCTCGCACCTCGCACGTTCTCAAAGTGTGTGGAGACAGCCCTGCATCCACTGCACAGAGCAGGGATGAGAGTTTTGTTTTACCTGGACGACCTGCTGCTCCTGTCTCACTCCAGACAGGAAGCATTGATACAGGCTCAGGTGTTGGCATCACACCTGCTAAATCTGGGCTTCGCCATAAATTGGAAGAAAAGCTCGATTTTCCCGGCCCAGACAATTGTTTATCTGGGAGTGGAATTAAATTCAATTACCATGACGGCTCGCTTATCACAAACAAGAATCGACACTCTAAAAAACCAATTACGCCACGTAAGACCTGGCAAAGTGGTAACAGCTGTCTCCGTCATGAAGCTGTTGGGAATGATGTCATCAGCTCACACAGTGGTCCCGCTGGGTTTGTTACACATGAGGCGCCTCCAGAGGTGGTTTACGCGCCTGCGTGTGGATCCAGTAAAACAAAAGAGACGGATGATCACTGTCCCTCCCTCCGTGAGAGCAGACCTCCGACACTGGGGAAACACCCTGGCTCTGTCAGAGGGAGTCCCCGTCAGCAAACCCTCGACACACGTGTCAGTCTTCACGGACGCGTCTCTGTCAGGTTGGGGGGGGACATGCCTATCTCAAGCAGTAGGGGCGCTGTGGCCCCACCGCACATCAGCCCACATCAATGTTTTGGAGTGTCGCACAGTGCTGAATGTGATTCAGCATTTTGCTCCCGTGCTACAGAATCAACACGTGTTGATTCACACAGACAACATGGTGACTGCTGCGTACATAAACCGCCAGGGGGGTGTGCGTTCAGCCCAGATGTTACACATTGCACGGAAGCTACTGTGTTGGGCTCACCAAAATCTGCTTTCCATCAGAGCGGTTTACATACCCGGCGTTCTGAACAGAGGAGCAGACGTGATGTCCAGGGGCGGTCCACGTCACGCGGACTGGACCCTCCATCCAGACCTGATGTTTCAGACGTGGCAGAAGTTTGGCAAAGCAGCTGTGGACCTGTTTGCGACGCGAGAGAACGCTCAGTGCCAGTTATGGTTTTCCCTGAGCCCTCGAGACGATCCACCGCTGGGGGTGGATGCATTTGCCCACAGTCCGTGGCCCAAAACGCTTCTGTACGCGTTCCCTCCT